CCAACATAGTGATTAGAGGTTTTGCCCTTGCGTCAAGAATGACACTATTAAAGGATTCATACATGTAGTTGAGAACAACATCACATTTGTTTTCAGTTCTAAAGTAATATCTACTCCAAAACCTTGGTGGGGTCTTCATCATATGTTTAAATTCTTGTTCATTGATGGCCCTCACTCCCTTCATCTCACTTTCCCATGCCTGTGGGTATGTTGACTTGGCATCCTTCCATATTATGTCCTTCAACATCTTTCCAGGAAACCTCTTCCTAAAATTGTTATACGTTTGCCTAACACAAAACATGTGCTCCACCCTTGGTAATAGCTCATCCATAGTAGGTAGCAGACCATGCAATAGCATAACAATATAGCATAACATACAATATAACATAACAATATAACAAAACAGAAAAATATAAAACCATAAGAATAAATGAAAAACTTTCCTTTTGTTGGTCTGAGATGAAGGTGTAAGTCAGGCATTGATCTTTGCCTCTAAGCTCATCAATTAATAGCTTTAAAAACCAAGTTCAGCTATCCTTGTTTTCACTCTCCACAACTTCATATGCTATGGGAAGAATCTGGTCATTAGGATCCCTCCCTATAGCAGCCAGAATATGCCCTCCATGCAACCCCTTGAGCAAGCACCCATCTAGACCTATTACATGCCTGCACAACTTAGAGATTTCCTTACACGCAACATAATATATGTAAAGCCTTCTATAATATGGTCTTTGATCCTTAACACCTTCTTGTACACGATCAACATTGATCTTAACTGTTGACCCTGTTGGTGTAAGCCCTAGAGGCCAATACTTTTTGGTACTTGTATCGGATTATTCGTTTAATAATAAAAGGCATTTCTTTATTATGTTTGTCTTTCAGAATAATAAAGTCCCTAGAATAGTTAGTCTGTTTAATGAAATGTTAAGTGTGACTTAATCATGAGATCCCATTAAACTTAAAGACATTATTCTTAAAATATCCGTAGTCAAGCTTTATTGCAAAGTGGGATAACATTAAAAGCATTGAGACTATTATGAAGATAGACTGATGATCACATCTCATGGATCATGGATAAAGAGTTATCAAGTCTTGACATAGGTATAAATATTAGGAGTAATATTTATACCGGATTGACCCGCTATGAGAATACTACATAGTATGTTATGCAAAGTGTCATAAGTTATTCTCATGGTGATAATGGTGTCTTACCACCCTTCGACCTGAAACCACTATGGACCCTAGATGTAGAGTCGGGTGCTTTATTGCTGATCAAACATTATCCGTAACTGGATGATCATAAAGACAGTTGATGGGCACTCCACGAAGCATGCTGAGGGACATGAGTGTCCTAGATGGAATTTGCCAATCCTGCATAACAGGAGAAATGTCTAAGGGCCCAATATTGAACTGGACAAGGATGACACAGTGTATGCCTTGTGTTCAATATAGACATAGGGGCAAAAAGGGTAATTATACAAACATATATTATCACGAAAAAGGTTTTGTCAGATCACATGACATTTTCGTGACTTGGGTAGCAGTGATGTGTTGCTAGATACCGCTTACTGTTTATTATGTTAAATATATAATTTAATATAATTACCAACGTTACGAAATCCTACAGGGTCACACACATAAGGACAGTTTGATGAGAGATAGAGAAATCAAAGGAACACCGTAAGGTACGGTGCACTTAAGTGAAAAATAGAAATTCGGATAATATAAATTATTGTTATTTTATAATGGTTATAAAATAATAATAAAATAAATATATTTATTATAATAATAGTTATTATAATAATATATAATATTATTATGGATCATGTGAATTGGGTTTTTAGCCCGCAGCCCACAAGAGAGTCTATAAAAGGAACCCTTGTGATGAAGCTTTCACTTGATGCAATTTCGTTTTTGATTCTCTTTTCTGACTCAAATAATTCCGTTCATAAGCAGCTAGCACTGTGACCGGAAGCTGTTCATGTGGACTGAGTAGAGGCGTTGCACTTCATCAATGCTTGTGATCGCTGCATCAAAGATCTGAATCGCCACAAAGAGGTAACGATTCTATCACTGACCATGCTCATTCGTAAGGATCACTAAAGGAAATTTTTGTTTTCCGCTGCGTTTAGATCGCAATTTTCCATCAGACCCTGGATTGGCTCTTAACAGTTCATGACAGTAGTCATAGACCCTTGTGTAATCTCCCAAAAAAGAACCATCAACATAATCTCTAGCTGCAAATCTTGCTCTAATAACTTTGCTTTTGTTGACCCTAACATTCCACTTTTTGTATGTCTTCTCCTTGATATCCTTTATACTCAACCTTGGATTGTTTTGCAATCTATTCTGAATTCTTTTACTCAACCATTTTGTACTCATCAGCTTCACATTATAATCTCTACTACAACTGTGTTTGTCAATTACTTTCCTGAGTTGCCAAGTGTCTTCATTTGACAACTTGCTACAATAAGCCTCTCACTCACAACCAACTTTACATCTAACCCTTATCCTAACTCTATCATTTTTTTACAAATCTTAGGTCTCTACCATTTTGAATAGCATAAGATGTTAATGCTTCCTCAAAATCACCCTTTGAACTAAAATACATTCCCACATCCCACTTGTAATCTGACATGTCTTTTGGATGTCTGAAAATTGGATGCTTTTTTCTTAGAACTCCACTACTATCATCACTGTCACAGCCGCTTTGCATGTCCTCACTATCATTGTCACTCCCTTTATCTTCTAAAGACTTATCATTAAGTTCTTGGACTTCTCCATTACCATCATTTTCATGACCAATTATGGTATCAAGTTCATCCTCCTCAATCTCATCATACCCATCAGACTCATCCTTAAAAGCCACTTCTTGTGCACTATCATAATTGTAGTCCTCATCTTCACTATCATTAGAAGATAAACTTAAGTCATCATCCACTGTAGGTTTACCTTTTTCAACTCCAACATTACATTCTTCCCCTGCAGGTTTATCTTGTTTAACTCCAACATTAATTTCCTCAACTCCAACAGTATATTGATCCACTACATGATTCACTTGATCAACTCTAACATTAACTTCCTCCAACCCGACAGTGTCTTGATCAACTCTAACATCACCTTCCTCCATCACAATAATGGTTTGTTCAACTCCCACAACTTCATCATGGAGTTGACTAAGTAACTCTTCCACCTCATCTACAATTTCAGCAGGGCCCTCATCAACTTCATCAATAACAACATCACGGTAGTTAGGTTGAGACAAGGCGTGTTCAATATAAATATCAATATTTTGGTGCACCCTATAAAGATCTGCAATTTCTAAAGCACCATTGTCATTAACAAGGGCATGCATCCCAAATTGAGGGTCCTTGTAATATATTGTTTCAAACTCCCTATAACCCAAGTCTTTCAATACACCAACTAGCTCAAAATAACTCCATTTGTCTACATCTATTTTCAAATGATCTACTACTCTATTCTCATATACACTACAACCTTCATCGGTGAGCTCACCACTATGATGAATTTTGAGATTATGTATTCATCCATGATACCTAATCATATTATCTAAATAATTAGAGGTTACACTAAAAAATTTACATAAATCCTAAATTTGAACCTCTAGCAGATATTGTCCTATGAGATTCGTAAACCCTAAATCAGAGAGAAATGAACTAACATTTTGATAGTGTCTCCTTGAATCGTCTTCAATCCTTCGCCCTCAATCCTTCGCGTTTGGAATAATCTTTGAATCGTCTTCAATGCTTCGTTGAGTTTACCCCTACCATCAATCCTCTTATCTTCTGGATAATGGAAAGTCAGTTCAAAGGGGATTTGTTTTAAGACATTTTATATCCACGTCAACAACATCAAGTCCACCTGATCAAACGTGACAATTATTTTCAAAGTTTGACTAACGGCAACAAACGGAAGGATAAACGTGACACCATTTTAAAAGTTAGAGAACCAACTTGTCACTTTTTAAAGTTAAGGGACCAAATTGGATTCCAAGCTAAAGTAAAGGGACGAAAAAAATCATTTTGCCTTAAATATATAATTTTATTGTATTATTTACTTTCAATATTTATTATTTATTTAAATATTAAATATAAACTAAAATATATAATAAACTGAAATTATACTATGTAATATTAATTATGTAATAAATTGAAATTATATTAAATATGTAATATATACATTCAGAGATGGAAATTAATCATAAAAAACAAAGTGGCCTAATGATAGGTGTCTCCTTATCGTTATGTATGCTCAAAGTCATGGATTCATCATCCTTTGACAACAGAAGTTTAACTTTTTACAACTTTCTATTTTTATAAATAATAAAATAATAATAAATAAAAAATTAAACTAAATTAATAAAAAACAAATAAAAATTTAATTTTCCAATTTTTGAATATTTGAATTGTCCACTCTTAAAAAAAAAAGTTTCTTATTTTAATGTTGGCATCATTTTATCGCTTATGTATTCATACATTTTGTTTGAATTTCATCTTATCACATTGAACTCACCCAAAATTGGTAAATCAAACCATTTAGAACTTGACCAACTTTGGCAAAGCAGGTCCATCGCTAGCATGGACTAGATTGGTTGATTGTCGAATCAATATAAGTAAGGTAGAAACATTGTTTCAAAGAGCCATGGAATTTCATATATATAAAAGACATTTTGTAACCTTTCATATCAAAAGAGTATCTAATTAAGAGATAAATCGTAGTATAATGAAGTGACTAGACACATTCTTGAACATAACCTTTACAACTGTTTCTTCTTATTTATTTATTTTGTTAAAGTCAACAATGCAAAACAAAAGGAATATATATCCCTTTCATATTTTGTTAAATGCAGAACTAAAACTCAAAAACAAAAACAAAATCATCCAAATATTAAAATGGATATTTATAATTCAGCATAACATGTTCCTAAGCCACCAGTGTCACAAACATTCCAACAACGTGACCACTTCATTTTGTTGTGATCACTGTCTGTCTATACTTGTTGGATCTTCAATCGTGACCGATTGAGCTTTATTAACATCAACATTGTCATCAATTTTGGAGACCGTAATCGGTAATTGTTGTTGTCCTTGTATGCCGATTTTTTGCGGGGACTCTTCTTCTAACATGATACTCTTTTGTTCCTTAGATTTGCCCCATACAACAAGATATAATCCTGTAACCACCACGACTCCTCCAACAATGCTGCGACGTACATAAAAAAAAATCATATAATTGATTATTTATTTCGTATTAAATTAAGAAGAGTGTTAAGAACACGATAAAAGGTCACTATAATGTACCTTCCGAGATGAAGTTTTTCTGCGAGGAACATACAAGCTAAGCCTGTGACTATGATCATACGAAGAGGATTAAAAGCCGTCACGAAAACAGGTCCCATAGTTTTAATCACAGATCCTTGCACATAAAATTGAATTGCTGAAGTTACTATCCCCTGTGTAAAATATTTGAAGATGTTAGAAACAAAATATAAGATATTTGCTTAAATATCTAACTTGGGTTGGGCCTTTGAGTTTAAATGGGCTTATTACTAACCGCGTATACCGAAGCGAAGAGTCTAGAGTCCAGGCCCAAAGCCCAAGCCTCAGGGCTGTGACGTTCCACGAAAATAGTTACCACACTGCTTTGAAGTGCACCAATGAAACAAACCCACGTGGCAAGAGACATTTCTGCTGGATACTTTCTCAATGTTATGGCCTGTAATTCATAAGTGTATGTTTTAGTTAGGTAACTTCCACTCCAAGCAAATACATACTACACAGATATCAGACGCAGACGCAGACGTATACCAGTATCAAAGACCAGACACATAATTGTTCAGAGGTGTCTGAAACTTACTTGTAAAATGTAGAAAGCGGAAAAGCCGGCGCAACCGATGAGGAGAAACAATGCACCAAGGAGCCAGTGTGAACCAGTTGGATCATTGACATTTTCAGGTTGGTGCATCTGTGTTGCTGCTGAAGAGCCAGCAATTTGAAGAACAGGACCTTTGTATAGTGCCATAAGAAAAGCACCTCCAAGACTCACCACTGTGCCAATCACTTTAGCTTGACATCCTATCTCCCTAAGTTTCATCCTCTCCAATCTACTCAAACATAAATCAAACATTTTTTTATACAATTAAATTTTAAAACTTTTTTATATAGAAAATGAACTAAGTCCACTAGTTAAGTGCATGCGTGAGTGTGAAGTGGGATCCTTGAAGGACACAACATAATAATAATAATAATAATAATAATAATAATAATAATAATAATAATAATAATAATAATAATATATTATATGATTTAAATGAGAATCTTACCTAAATAATATTGCAAGTACAAAGGTGATGGAAGGTACGGAATTCATAACAGCAGATGCAAAAGATGCTGATGTCAGCTTCATCCCCAAGAACGTGAAACATTGATCAAGTATTATCCTATAAATAACATTTAATATACATATAAATAAAAAATTAATATATTATCATCTACAACCTTACAAAATTTCAATTTACTGAATTCAAATATAATTATTTAAGATGAAATTACGTACTCAACAAATCCCAGTGCCATAATTTCAGAAAATATTCTCACTGTCATCTTTGGCCTAATTTTCCTGAACAAAGTATTACAAAATGAACACACAAGTTAATAGTTAGTTCTCAATTTTTTGCTAATAAAAATATAATAAATAATAATTTATTTATTTATTTATATACCTTTCGAGAAAAAATGCGAATGGAGCAAGAGCAACAGTGGCAATAACATTACGATAAACCACAAAAACATAATGACTCATTCCTTTATTAAGAGCATCCATGGTGAGAACATACATGCCAGCAGAACCAAATTGCAAGCTTATTATAAGCAAATAAACCTTTGAGTTTCTTAGCCATGCATTAACTTTCTCACAACATGTTAATTCACCCATCTTATGTTATATTAATCTCACTTCCTCTTATGATTTCTTTCTTTTTTTGAGGAAGAGAAACTTATATGTTTGCTTGAGATGAGTGGAAAAGTATGGTTATAAATCACTATATTTATACCCAAAGTTTAGCATAAGAGTCAAAATTATTAGTGTATACTATAATTATGAATAATGAAATTAATTAATTACTTTATCGAATATCCACTAATGACACTAGATACGCATTATCTATATTTCTACTTTAAGTAATTATCAGATGATAAATTAAATAGTTTTTATAGTCTGATTAAAGTTTGTATTATTTAGAAATATGCAAGTATTAATTTGGATGTTATGATTGTTGGATGGTATAAAATGTTTTGGATAAATCACATGTTTAATATATTTTACTATTTTGGTGCTATAGTATATGGACAAAAGATAGGTTGACATCGGTTTTTGACACCTACACCTACAACATAATGTATACTAGTTTTGTTTTTTAATAATTTATTTTACATTGGTTTGAGTGAAAGACAATTTTGTTTTGATGATATGTACGGTGTATCAAACGGTGTATTGAATTTTATTTTTATTTTTACATTAAATTTATACTGTATTTTATTATTTAATAATACGGTAAACAGTAAAATATTATAATAATATATATTTTTTATAATATAAAAAAATATTATTTTAATATATTGATGTTGATATAAAATTACGTGATTAATTAATTTTATAATTTTATTAAACAATTTTTTATATTTTATTAACTAAATTTATTTGTTATTAAAAATTATTTTATTATTTGAACATTTATTAATCAATTTTATATTTTAATTAATTAATTTTTTATTTTTTATAAATTAATTTTAATTTATTATTAAAAATTATTTTAATATTTAGACGCAATTTTATCACTTCATTAAATAATTTTTTATATTTTATTAACTATTTATTTTATTATTTAAAAATCAATATTAAAAGATACTATTTACGAGCACTATTCATAAAGATATTATTTATGTACTGTTTATAAAAAATATTTTTTTTATTTAAAAATATTATTTATCGTATAAATATAATATATACAATGTATATATTTGACATAAAGGACTAACAATTTTGCTTAGAAATATGTGAAGTAACTTTATCACCGATATGTATGTGTTATCTGTATTTAGATGATCTATATTAGGCTAGACATAAGCTATTTGGACCATGAGCCAAACTTTAGCAGATAAAATTATAAATTTTCAATTATCTCTTAATCTATATAAAACACTCAAATGTAATAAATATTTTGGGACCAAAAGAATACTCTACATATGTTGGCTCTTTTTTCAAACTTATGTTGAAAAGTTATATATAAATTGTCTTAGGCTTTTTATAAATTGTGTCCAAAAATTTGATAGCGTTAGCATTAGCTAGGTAGCTCATAATGGATTAAATTGCGATTTAATATATATAGTTTAAAACGAGATTATATATGCATGCATATGCAAGTCATTAGAATATATAACATGGCCTAATGTTTGAAAAAGACGCTTTAAAATCATTTAGGTAACAAATCGTTTATATTAATTATAATGAGTCTATAGGTTCTCTAAAACGAGGTGGCCACGTCTTGTTTTGTATTATTATAATGATGATTATAATTACTTGGCTATCAATTAATTGCATGATTAGAAAACGGGTAAAGTGATTAGGTATGGAAAGAAAGTACAGCTCTAATAGAAATATTAAGATTGTTAGGATAAGGATTAGGGGTATATAGACACATAGTTGAAAATGTTAGATAATAGATAACACGTATTGATAAAAGTTGTAGGCATTATCAACGTAGAGAAGTAATTTCAAATAGTTTGAGTTGGATAGTTGGGGAAGCAATATCTTTATTTTATATTTCGCAACAACAAAATTCTTGGTTTCACAAGCATGAATCACAATATCAACAAACCCCCACTCAAATAGTTAACCACCAAGTACCACACTAGAGATGTGAAAATGAAGCATGGAAACAAAGGAGGGGTGTGTTTAAGCAATACTAGTCCCACCCCCTCCTCAAACTCAATATGGAGTAACAATTGACCAAACATATGTCTCCAACAATAACTAATTGTTATTGGACACATTAACTTCATTAACATTTTTTTTAAGTAAGCAAGCAAAATAGTCTTATGTGTTTGTAGAACACTCTCAAATTGATCTATGAATATTTTTAAAAATCTTCGACTCTATTTTTTTAATAGTAAAGTAGAAATTTTATATTAAAAAAAATAATAAAAACAACAATTTACTTAAAAGGAGGAAAGAGCACTAATAGTGCTCGAGAGCAGCAAACAAAACAAAAGAATCAATAGTCGAAATCATACTTGCAACCAATAGAAATATACATAACACGATTAGACAAAAGGGAGGAATAACAAGCCAGCGAAATCAAAAATCTGAACTATCCAGAAACCACAAGATCAAACAAATCTCATAAAAGAGCAGCTAGCTGGAAGGAGATAAGTACAATCACACATACACAAAACAATATAGGAGGAAAGTTGGATACCAACTAACCCGAGTCAAACCATGTGATAGAGTCTCACTCCTAATCTAATAGAGAAACGATAAAATCTGAAGTATGAGCATGAACTCACTTCTACAACATGTTAATAATTATAGACACCCAATGATTAAGCGTCGTATTTTCTTAAAAAAAAATAACTTTGTTGCGTATTTTTCAAATTTCCAAACCACATAATTCTGAATCGAGATCAAACTTAAAGATTGTTGTTTACCTTGACCTAGACCCTGAAACAACTTAAACACTTTAAGATTGACTACGATAGAGGCCCTGACTCCTATGTCCACTTAAAAACTATATACTAAATAACTGAAACAACCTCGCACTAAATAAAAAGATGATCAACCGCCTCCACTTGCCCAACACACACCCCACACCCTGCATTACTATAGTCATATATTATGTGACATCTCAAAATATATTTTTTTAGTGGACAACCTATCTTAAAGAATCTTTTAAGAATAAAACACTAAATTTGGAGGACGCCCACCTCTTCTAAACTCTGGCTAGCCCACTCAAAACTCTGACTGACCTACTCTCCAAATATCCAGCCGAAGCTAACAAACTTAACTAAAAATACCCTAGTTGGACCAAGTTTCCAAATCTAAAATATTTTCTTTAGTGTGAGGCTTTTGAGGTTTTTTCATTTGTCAATATTGATATTTAAAAATTAATTTAAAAAAAAATTGAATGACTCAATAAATTTTTTGAAATATTAAAACTCGCAATATTAATTTACTCATTTACTCAATTATTTCTTATAAATAAAAAATGCAATAAAATACTAATGTTTATGACCAACTAATTAAGTGAGACTTACCTATTCTGTAATACATCTATCCATGGTCATATGTGTGGATATAAATAGCAAGAAGATCTAAATCAACAAATTTTAATATCATAATAAATTTTCATATTAGTTCTAATTTAATTTTTTTTAATCGGTAAGATGAAGGATGTAGCTTAAACTTTAATAGGAATATAATTTTAATTCTATGCACTACATAGATATTTCTCTTCAATACAAAATAATATATACCTTTTTTCAAGAAAACTAAAACGTAACATATATTATAAATTAAAACAAGTTATTTCATCACAAAATACATAAAAAAACAATAAGAAACAATTTAAAATTCTGAAAAAAAATTCGGTCGTGCAAGATAAAAATTTTAATCTTCATAACTAATAATCATAATCAAAAATATATATATTTCAACTTTAACCAACAAAATAACTGAAATTTTACCATTTCAAATAACGTTCGCATCTATGCATCTATTAAGCTTTATTTAAAAAATAATATATACTATCTGTTTTTCTAATTTAACAATATTTTTCAATACAAAACTACTATTCCTACACCACTTTTTACACTAAATACATACATTGTATGTATTGCTTATCATATTTATATGATAAACGGTGTTTTTTAAATAAATAATATTTTTTATGAACAAAGAATGAGCCGTGCATAAACAGTATCTCCCGGTATACAGTATTCTCTGTGAATAGTGCGTTAATAATGTCCGTGAACAATGTCCGTGAATATTGACTTTAAAGTAGTGAAACAAAGTTTGCTAATGAAATGTAAAAAGTTGGTTAGTGAGGTGATGAAGTTGATTAATAAACGCCCAGATATTAAAAATAATTTTTAGTCCTAAATCAAAGTTGGTTAATGAAGATATGAAGTTGGTTAATAAACATTCAGATATTAAAATTTATTTTTAGCAACAAACAAAGTTGGTTAATAAAATATAAAAGGTTGGTTAATGAAGTTATTAAGATGGTTAATCACATAATTTTATATCAATATCATTTAATCTAAAAAAAATATTAAAATAATAAGTTTTATATTTTTAAAAATATATATGGCATAGGTGTAAGAGTTTGGTGTAATCGTTCTTTTATTTGTCTTTGTTCCTCGTACAAAACTATGCTCATCTCGTTAGATATCATAATATATTTTTAAACTTTTAATAGATTGTATGGATATTTAGAAAATGTTAATGAGTTGTTTAAATAATTGATAAGTGTGTAATAATATTAAAAAAAAAATAGTAGGTTCCATTTAAAGAATTGAAGTGAGTGTAATGTTGTTGATGCTCTTATGGACAATTCGATCTGAATATTAAAGATGTTGACATCACCTCCTGACGTTAGATCGATGATGTCTCCCCCTTTTAAAGTTGGTACTTTTAAGAAAGTTTTCACACTATGAGATTTAAGATGAACATTTCCGCGAAGGACACCAGATTAGACGAATTAGGAGCAAAAATGTCAAATTACAATATTTTATTTAACGGTTATCCAAAGTAGGAGGTTATAGATTCTTGAAATCCTAGAAAGTTGCTATAAAGCATAACGATGGTGTCACATCAAGGTAAAAACTTTACAAACTCTAAATACATCTCATCATCGACCTCACTAATTCGAGCGACAG